TGACAATATTTTTAATATGTAGGCCTATTGATGCTATTAATTTAAATGACATGGGCTATAAATTAAATATTACAAAAAACCCATTTTTTTATCACAAAACTTCATTCATCTCTTTAAAGTAATATTAACTAAAAATTTGACTAAATAAAAATCATTAGATGATTTTGTACGGATCCAAACAGCAAGCATACAAATTTAATGAAGAGTTTAAGTTGCAATGGACCAGGTATTATACAAATTTACTGGATCAATATAATATGCAATTTTATAAACTTGTTCCAATTGTATTTCATTTATTGTAATTATGCGTGGGAAAGGGGTCAATGCACCTACCTGAATAATAGGACTTGGAACCAAAGGTGTGTCTGCTTTCAAATGTCTCTCCAGAGAATTATCAAATGTCAATTGCTTTGATTTTTGTCTTTTAACATACAGCTTGCCATTCTAAAAATAGTAATCAATCTTACTTATAAATTACGAAAATTAGAGAAAATAACTATATCAACTTATTACTTATTACTGTTCACTCATTTGGCAAAATTACAGTACCAGATTATAGCTTAAATACTTTTGCATTGCAGTTTTAATCGTTGATCATACACCACAAATTTATTGAAAGAAACCACCTTGTTAGTGCCTTAGAGTTTATTTTCACTACAATAAGATTATTTATTTGAAAGACGTGAAAACATACAAGGAATGCATTGTTTGTTGTTAAATAAATGTTTGATGCTTCTGACCCTGATGAATAACTAATTTGGCAACCTTTGCCTATTTAATGATACAAAATTTGCAAAATCTCTAGGATCCATATGGCAGAGGAATATGTCATTAATGATTGAAAGGTTTTAAGCTCAGTCGTGGGGTAGGTTAGATCTGGTCAAAAACGCTTTTGAGTTCATATTGATGTTAAGATTATGTTAGGTACAGCAAATACTGCTATTTGCACACTTAACAACAACATTTTACATGACTGGAACATGCAATAATTTTGTAAATGGTTTTGTATCATACTTGGCAGAACTTCTTGGTAAAACTAAGCCAACAGATTTTTAATAAGAAAAGAAACACTTTTATTTATTTTTATTCTTAATGCTTACCTGTTTTACTAAAGCCTGTAACAGCGCAAAATAGTTTCTCATCATCATGAAAGGTTGTAAGCAGAACTGTAAGAAATTATAATTATTCATTGATTGATATATGCTTGAATTACTAACGGTACAAATAAGATTGTTGTACCCTAGATAAGGTAAATATAATTCCATAGTAAGTAGTAATTAGTTTAATTATAACTTATTACTTCATATATGGTTGTACTACTAATAGTTTACTACCTATCCATTTCAAATTGAATCAGTTTAATAAATCAGCTAAAATTTAACACCATAAACTTAAACCTACTTATAAATTAAATAGGTTAAATGATCTGAAATATACCAAAATATACAAACCACAAATACGATAACTAAAAATGTAAATAAAGTGTAAAGAAAAAAATGTATAGTGGTTTGTGAGAATGTAGGCCTATCTTTCCACATTGTTCTAAGGTCAATAAAAAAACTTTCAATTTTAAAACATTTTTATTAGCTCGCTTTCTTGTCCGGTACAAATTTTGCAATCAATTTTATACTAAATTCCCGATAAGCTAGAGACTTTAAACTTGAAACATAGCTCTCAAATGGATGACAATGCAATATTATATAATTTAATTTTCATATTTCCCTTGGGCTACGCCCCACGGGCTTGTTTTTATTAACTCGCTTTCTTGCAAATTTTGATACTTCCTGATGAGCTAGAGACTTGAAACTTGAAACATAGCTCACAAATGGATGACAATGCAATATTATATCATTTAATTTTCATATTTCCCTTGGGCTACGCCCCATGGGCTTGTTTTTAGCGAATTTCCCTATAGGGAAGTAGCTATTAGCGAATTTCCCTATAGGGAAGTAGCTATTAGCGAATTTCCCTATAGGGAAGTAGCTATTACCGTAGGTCTCATGGTAAGACCTAAGCCCGGGACCGATTTACTTTTTCATTTTGATGTCCCCAAAGGCCAAAAACACCATTCGTTCAAATTTTTATATATCTATATATAGAAATTGTGAAATTTTGTGTTTTTAGGGTCAAAAATGGGAAAAACCTATTTTTACCCCATAAAACAACCCATAAACCCCCGTTCCCATAGTCCGATCATGCTGGTTCGCGAACTCATTAAAGTTTATCCTGCCTTACCCCTTCAAACCAAATTTTATCAAAATCGGACAAAAATTACTCAAGTTATCGTGCGGATGGACACATATATATATATATATATATATATATATATATATGTGTGTCCATAAAATTTGATAAAATTTGATTTTGATAAAATTTGGTTTGAAGGGGTAAGGCAGGATAAACTTGAATGAGTTCGCGAACCAGCATGATCGGACTATGGGAACGGGGGTTTATGGGTTGTTTTATGGGGTAAAAATAGGTTTTTCCCATTTTTGACCCTAAAAACACAAAATTTCACAATTTCTTTTTAAACCATTTTGTAGAGCTTAAAAAAACAAATCATTTAGTATATTGAAGTGTTATTATGGGCCTAATTGTTACGGAGAAAATTCAAAAAAATTGTAATTTTAAAATTCCCATGTTATTCTTATGGAGAATAAGTCAACTGTTGTAGTTTGCTTGTTTATGAACATATTTTGATCAAATTTGGAAAAAAAATTAATTTCTTACTAAAACATAGTACCTTTTAATATTTTACATAAAAAAAAAAAACTTTTTTACCCTCCCTGTTGCAGCAAACCTAAGTACTCATTAAACTAATTCTGTTTAAATAGGGAATAAATGTGATATTTTTAAGGAGACAATTTAGTTTAAATCTAATCAGGCAGATGGAAATTCGCTAAGTCTGCAGGTTTGCTGCGGCGGGGGGTATTATTAGCTCGCTAGTCGCTTTCCTACAAATTTTGATATCAATTCTAAACGAAGTTCCTGATTAGCTAGAGACTTCAAATTTGAAACATAGCTCACAAATGGATGACAATGCAATATTATATCATTTAATTTTCATATTTCCCTTGGGCTACGCCCCATGGGCTTCCAAATTTTCCATGTTTACATTTTGAAAGAATGTATATTTACATTCTTACATTGATAATAATACATTAGTTCAATAGATGAAGGTAATTAATTGTAAACTATCTATTGCATGCACCCAACGTTTTTCGTTTTCTACAAGTATTTGTACTCTCCACATATTTTTTATAAATTATTTTCTACTTTTTAGTGCCTTTAAAAACGTTTTGTTTTAAAAAAGTTTTTTATTTATAAATTATTTTCTATCTGCACATACCACATTAGTGAAAAGTCTCCATATACTTTTAACAACTTGTTACTAAACAACTTAAAGTATATTTTACCTTTCCTGAGGTGTTCTATTGTAATATTTAATCCAATGCATTGTTTGCTAAGTGGTTTTGACAATAAACTAATAATTTAATGATAAGAATGTGTAAAACTCAAAAATTTGGAAATATTTTGAATTTTGCAATTGTTAATTTTCTTTTTGTTTACATACTTCAAATTTGACCTAATGTAGACAGTTTTGTCAGATGGCATAGTGATTTTTTTCAGCTGGTTTTCCTGAGTGAAGAGGTAAGACTATTGATAATATATCTTGCATAGTAAACCATTGATTATCAAAATACTACATTTCTAATCAATGCTTATACATCTTCATATTTATGCATATGATTTGACACTGTACACCCGAATCTCCTGGACCAGTACGTAGATACAGGTTTCAGTGGGAAACTTTGTTTAGTGTTTAAGCTTGGAGATTTTAAAGACATTATTTTTGGACTAGGATCCAACATTTTTGAGTCCTGTAGGCTCTTATATACTTACCTTCATGATAGACCATTCTTTGCTAGACTCATCTTGATTTTCCAATCTATGTGAAATCAAATGTGGAATGAACTCTTTACAGATCCATTGATGCATAAAACCTTGTGTAGTTCTGGAGAGGACAGAGCAAGTTTATATTGGTCTTTGAGTCTAGAACATGTGGATCAATCACGGCTGTTTGGTAAATGGACCCAGTGGGCCCAGGGGTGCAAGAGGTTTTAGGTTTATTTTTTGTTTAAGGTCTTGACCTGCCCCTGTTAGATAAGATAAGATAAGATAGGTTTATTGGGGGCGCAAGGAAGATATAAATTCCTCAAAAGGTAGGTAGAGAAGTGCACAATTTTTGCCCCATAGTGCACCGCCGCATCACATGCGTGCTGTGGGTCTGTGTGGAATGGTCTATAAGATGGTAACAAACTATGGAATTTGGGTATCAGAGTATATTATGTTGGTATACATACTACCTTGTAGATTTAACATCCATTTATTAATCAGTTTAAGTCAATCTTATAGTGTGTTCCACCATGGTTTATGTTATGGTGTGCATTTGTTTCTCACCGTTTAACTGATTCCAGACTTGTTTTATCTCAAGTATAATCATATGTGTAAAACTATTGCTTAGCCAAGGGTACTAATGCCATTTGCTAATACCAACATCTAATTTTGTTAACGACATTTTTTTTCTAAATTGATGTGTCAGATTTATGGGATTTGTAAATTATAAGTTCAAAAATGAATGCAAGCAGGTTTCCTCCAAAGGCTCACACCTGTCTTGGGGATACAGCTCCATAGTTTAGTTTATTTAGTGTATAATCCATAGTTTATTCCTCTATGGAACATAATTCAAACATATGTGTACATCATACATTATTGTTAAAGATTGCTGACTCCAAAACAAGTGCTATGTATTGTTTTGTTACTCTGTGCATAATTGTTAATTATAACAAACTGCAAGACATGAGCTAAAACATGATAGTGAATGTGAAAACATCAATTTGTGTACATGTGCGTGAGGGGGTTGCCATATAAAAGACATTGTCAAAGCTAGTTTATTAGTTACCGGTAAGATTGTTCTTCCAACCAATAAACAGTTTATATCTACTTCCCCTCCACCCTAGGAGGCTTAGCCAATCACAATGCAAAGGGAATTGCCATCATGGATGAAATCAACAACAAAACCAGTTCAAAATGGAAACCCTAACCCAAGCGATTCGTTTTATGAGAAAAAGCCGCTCTTGACGTTCAAAGGGAAAGTCCACTTTTCAAACAAAATTGGAGATTGTGGTTATGTTTGTGAAGCAATCTTAAAGAAAATTGAAGGAATAGAGGATCTTATTGTAGGTTTTGATCTAGAATGGCCAGTTCAGTTCACAATGGGAACAGGACAACAAAAAACTGCTCTCATTCAGTTTTGCCCTTATGTTAGTGTGTGTTACATCTTCCAAGTGACAGAATGGAACTACCTACCTAAAGTGTTCATTGATTTCATCAGCCATCCCAAAGTGAGACTGGTTGGTGTTAATGTTAAAGCGGATATCTGGAAGCTCGGTAGGGATTTTGACATCTCCGTCGCACACATTGTTGAAAGTAATGTCATCGACTTAAAATCCTTAGCGAATCAAATATTCTCTACACAAGAATCATGGAGCCTGGGTCGACTTGTGTTGTACGTACTCAAAAAACAGCTTGACAAATCTGATGTGAGAATAAGTAACTGGGCTCAAGAAGATCTGACATCTCATCAGCTGGTTTATGCTGCTACGGATGCATATGCATCTTTGCTTACTTATCTACGATTAAAAGAAATTGAAAAAACAAAGTGACAATGTTTCCTTATTGGAGCTTCTGGAACATTGGCTATTTCGTCTGCAAAGGGGCACTGGTAATCCAGCATAAGCTTAACTAGGGTCATTTAATAGGAGGGAGGGTTGACTACCAAGGGGTCTAGGGAAGCTTTAGGTTTTATTGTGAGTTTTGAGTTATTTTGAAAACTATTTATATTTTTGTTTTTATTTATTTTTTGTTAATGGGGGTGTTACAACCTTCAAACCCTACACTTGTTATGCCTGTATGTGACCCAGGACGAAGTAGTTGTCGGTTAACAGAAGTGTATTGGTGATCAAACACAAAACCCTATCCACAAACAATACTCTACAGTGGACATAAATACAGTTTTGTGTCTAAAATAAAATATGTTTTAATTGCATTTGATTTTTTGTTTTATGTTTCTGTTGTTACTATGATGTTTATAAAGTACTCGCTTGATTTTATTTGTGGGTTAGTTAATTTTTAATGGTTGATGTAACAGGCATCAATAGGAATATAAGAAGAAAGGAACACTGGTGCAAATTTTTATACTGAGTTAAAAGGAAAATGTTAATACCAAATTTTTCATGAAATTTTATATACTGGAATTGATCAAGTAAATCCAGTGACCATTTTTGTCATAATAACAAAAGTATATAGTTTAACTTTTATCAGAGAACTCAATTATGATGTGTTTTCCCCCTTTAATTTTAAGTTGTAAGGAAGGTAGTTCAATTTAAATTGTGAGGGCTGTTGTGCATTATTTGTTACCTCTATAAGTCTTAAGCCAAGAGTTATGCATACTTTTTTTATAATGAGAAAAAAAAGAAACAGTAGACCATGTATTTTTACGTTTACTTGAATCATAAATAATGTTAATTGCAACCAAATTGCTGACAAAACTATTCTCAACCATCAAGATGAACCATATTACTTTTTATCAGGTGGACATATTTTTGTGTGCTTTGATACTATTTTTCCACTTTTAGATGACACACAAACTTCTGCTTTTTCAACTTGAATCCCAACTTCCTCTTTTGCCAAAATGAAAACTGGTTTACAAACTTTGGTTCGTTTTCTGACTTTTTCCTCTTCGATCTGCACACACTTTTCTTTTTCCTCCATTTTTGCCATCTCTTCCTCGATATTTGGCAAGCATATTTTAGTTCTTGGAGCAACTTTTTTCTCTTCTGGTTCTGGACATTCCTTAACATTTTTGAGTTTTGCCATTTTTGCAGCAGCTGCTGATAAACACACTGATGTTCTCATCTGTTCAGGTACTTCTCTTGGTTCTGCTAGACACATTTTCTGCTTGTAGTTCGATAATTTTTTTGCTTTTCTACGTTTTGCTGCTTCACCACAGATTTTAGTAGATTTTCTTTTTCCTGCTGTATACAAAATTGCAGGACACACGCAGTTATCTTCAGACATTGTTGAGACACTTGCATCTTTACTTATGTTTCTTCCGTTTTTACTTCCTGTCACAGCAAGTTTAGAAACTTTTTTCATTGAAACCGCTTCTTTTGCATAACCTAATGATGAAGAAGTTTGAAATTGTCTGTTCGGAGTAAAACAGATATTCTCAGACAATGGCATTGTTGAAAATCGCCTGTTTATAGCTAGTGTTGGTGTAACTCTTGGAACTTTACGTGTCATTTTGTGTTTTTTATTTTCATAAAATTTTCTTTTACTGAAGATACCCGGTTTTGATCCCAGTACAACTGTCCTCTTTTTCCTCTTCACTTTCAATGGTCTTTTTGTTAAAATTCCTGAATTGTAGAGATAATTTTTTTCTTTCTTAGTGTGTAGACGCCTGGTTTTGGTAAAATCAAGATTTGCCATTTTTTTAAGGTTACTTGGTCCATTTTTTATTTGGCACGTAGAGATTATATCATGACTTCTTCCAAAATTTCTGAGCTGAACTTCAAAGTTATTACCAACCTCTACAATATATTTAGAATTTTTAGCAAATTTTAACAAATCAGAAGTTTCTCCATGTGTTTCTGGAAAGATTGAATGCATCCTCTTTACAATAGGTTGTCCAGCCCAACCATACTCTTCTAATCTCAGTGTTTCTTCTTCTGCTCTACGTGTAAATAGTTTAGCTGGGTTTAGTAGAAACTTATTAGGATAACTCCCAACTCTCGGATATGATATTTTCCCAGAAGTACTAAAGCTTGGAGCAGTTATTTGGTCTGATCTTAAAAAGAGGCAGTTTTTTGGCAGCGAGGAGGAATACATCGGCTGATAACCCTGAAAGATGGAAAGCAAAAGATACATTTTGTTGGTTGGAAATATTTTAGTAGTATGATATAGGAATGTAAGACCAATATTTGGTTTTAAATTACTACATCGTTTACATCAATAATTATTGATGAAGATATATAAGTTTGTTTGTTTTTAACAAGGGGTTTTTTTTAATAAGAAGAACCTTGGTTCAAACTTGTGTGTTCTGTTAATGCCTCCTATTTTTAAGTTGTATTTTAATTTTTCTGTCAATTTAATAATTGTTATAACTGCAAATTTCCAATAATCTGTCTAATATGCTGTCTTATAGCCCTTCAAATATTAAAATCAATGTTGTAACATTAAACAAATGTACAATATCCAGAGTCCATTTCAAAAGCTTGTTATTTTTATATCATAGCTATATGAGCTCTATTAGACAAAGATTAGGGAACGGTAGATTGAGTATTTTAAATTAATTTTTGCTCTACCTCTAAAAAAATCATTAAAAAAATATTGCAAAATATTTCTTACAAGGTTAGATTCTATAAGTTTTATTAGGTATGTCTTGGGATGGTATTTTGAAAATTGAGAAAAATTAAGCAGGATTTAGCTTTTTGCTGTAAAAAACTAAGTAGGTGAAATAATACCTTTACAAGAAAATTTTTACTTAAAAATAATTTGATACCTGAAGCTTCCATAATTTCTGTCCAGAGAGATTGAATAGTTTTGTCAGAAGTGTTTTCTGCATGCTGTAAAACAAATAAGATGCAAAACAATCAGTTTCTTCTCGTAATGTAATCTTCCACTGTATAAGGTGGCTATCTTATTGCTAAAGTTTTATAATACTTCTTAATAATATTTCTTAATAATAGTAATAATAATCTTAATACTTCTCAGGCGGTGTATGTGTGTTGATTTTTAAATTTTTATTAAATAAGGGTCTTATTGGGTTAGCAATGTGATTGATTTTTCCAGCCTGGCCTTTGCTCTCTTTTCAATGTCATGTTCTTTTTGTGTTTTATGTAAAGTTATGTTTCTAATACCTATCCATTTCTCGTGTAATTTTTTTACCTTCTAATGATATGTTTTTGACTCCTTGTAGGCTAGTTACTCTAAGTGCTACTTAGTTACTCCCACGGCAACACTTTATGCAGGTTTTTAAACATTTCAATGAGAAAATAATTAATTGCATGCAGAAAAAAAATTCTCAACCATTTACTAAAACATTATAAAAGCTGACAATGTCATCTCTAGCTACATGTTGAACTGGGTTTACCATACATGAATCATTTGTGAGCAATTGTGGAGAAAGTTCCATTTACAAATAAAAAAACTTTAGTATGTATTGAGATAAGTTTTTCATTTAATTTTTGTGATGAGAAAAAAAGCGATGTAATAAAAATAAGAACAAAAAATCTGTAAGTAATCCCTGAGGGCTTAAAGAGTTTACTAAAAAGGTAAGTTGTGAGATTTGATTTACTACACCAGACTTGTTAGGTTTATTTTGTGTTTAACTTAAAATAATTAGAATATAATTACATGTTTGATTAAATACTCACTTACTTTTAAGGGTAAACTGTTTTAAATTAACTAAAATTTAGAATGATGACATATTAATGTTTGTTTGATATAAATTTTGTTTTGTTATTGTCTATTAATAATTGGTGGGTCAAAACATGTGATATTTGGTTGATTAGAATGTTGTAATTTTATAAAGTTTTTCAGGAAATTTTATGAAAGTTGTTGAGTAACTAAATCATAAATGTCCATACTTAATTGAATGAACGAAGTGAATTCTCATACATGACAAAATGCATCTCTTTGGTACGCAATAGCCTTAGAAATACTATGTATATCCAACTTGAAGTGTTGCACAAAGATTTTATAGCATAATATCTTGAGAATATCAGTTGTTGAAGAATATTTATTCTGTAATAATTATAAAATCTTAAAAAAACCATTTTAATTTTCCCCCATAAGAATAACATTAAGAGCTACCTTCTTCTTCTATTTTTTTGTTTACATTTTACAAGCAACAATTTTGTCGTATATTTGAGACACAGAGAACGACCAAAGTCTCTTGTTTCTTCTGTCCATGGAGTATACAGGTCTGCTTAAGAAATCTTTGAATCTTTCATTCTACGGTTTCTAAAAAAATAACAATTGGTCTACTAAAAGAAATGGGGAATTTAAAAGATATCCACATATGACATAAGTTTATTGAAATCGATGAAAATATATAGTTAATTTTTTTTAAGTTTTTACAAGTTGAAGTCGTTACAGTGTCGTGTCACGTGTCAGTCAGTGAGTCACAGTCACAGAGTCAGTCAGTGTCGTCAGTAGCCATGGTATGGTTGTTTTGTTGGTTATGTTATTGTTATTGTAAGACCAGTGACCACAGACGTTGGTAACTGAGTTGGAGCTATTCATTATGTTAATTTTCAATATTAAAATTACAGCTTAACTAGGTCTATTAGTAAGTTATTGCCTTTTCAAACATTTTTCTTTTTGTCGGATCTTGGTTGTCTGCTGTTATCCGGTAGGTAGGCCTAGGTAAGAGCTCTCTGAGTGATTGATGAAGGTTTAGGGGTTTGTTTTACTTTTAAGTCCATCTAGACCTACTCAGCCTCCCTAAGACTAATAAGCATAGTAAAATTCTCTTTGGGTAGGGTTTATTTCTTTAGTTAACTTACAGTTCCGCAGAGGACCTGCGAATGCAATTTATATCTTAATCGGTTGAAATGGATAAGTTAGTTTAAAACTCTCTTTAGGTACGGTAGGGTAAGTTAACTTAAGTTCCGCAAAGGACCTACGAATGCAATTTATATTTAATCGGTTGAAATGCATAAGTTAGTTTTAAGTTAAAACTCTCTTTGGGTAGGGTAAGTTAACTTTAAGTTCCGCAGAGGACCTGCGAATGCAATTTATATCGTAATCGGTTGAAATGGATAAGTTAGTTTAAAACTCTCTTTGGGTACGGTAGGGTAAGTTAACTTAAGTTCCGCAAAGGACCTACAAATGCAATTTATATTTAATCGGTTGAAATGCACAAGTTAGTTTAAAACTCTCTTTGGTTAGGGTGAGTTAACTTACAGTTCCGCAGAGGACCTGTAAATGTGGGCTGCACTTTACTTGACGTCCTACACTCATTCGAATGAAAATATTGATCGATATATCGATTAATCGATTGCTTCATTCGATATATCGTTTGGTTAGTTAGGTAAGGTTAACCTAACCTAACTAACCAAACGATATATCGAATGAAAATATCGAATCGAAAAAAACAATCGAATGAGTGTAGGACGTCAAGTAAAGTGCAGCCTAAATGTGATTTATAACTTAGGCCTATCTTTTTCGGTTGTAATATTGATAACTTTTGTAGCGATTATTATTCGGTTTAAAAACTTATATCGCTAAGTACCTACTAAAAATTGTTGCTGCACTTAAGTAAGTTAAAATATCTGTCCTACACTCATTCAAATGAATATATCAATTATTTCTTATGTAGGGCCTACCGGTACTTCATTTTATATATCAAGTTTGGTTAGCCTAACCTAATTAACCGAATAAAATAATCAATATACTTAGGCCTATTGATAATTTGCATTCGAATGAGTGTAGGACAGATGCTAAAGTGCAGCCAAAAATGTTCCCAATTTAAACATTGAATCGAGTTATAAACTGTATTGCTGTGTAAGTTTGTATTGCTGTTAAATTAATGTAAACATCTATCTGAGTTAAGTGAATTAGAGTTTTATTGATGTTTTGTAAATGAAACTAGGCCTAACTTCACTAAGTAAGTTATTGAATAAAAAACAAAATATATTTTATGAAAGTTAACTTAAAAATACAGAAACAATAACCAAAACTTATTGATATGATTAGTTATGAGACTAGACCTCATAAATCAACTTAGGGTTCCGAAATGTAGTAATTTCTTTATTTTTTAGACATAAAAATTTACAAAAATGATCAAAAAGAAACAACTTTATTAGGCTATTTTAAGTTAAATGTTTTTGTTATCTTAAGCCTATTTTTGAAGCAAATTTCCCATTATACGGAATAAGCAAAATGCTGTAGTACTCATGGTAAGACCTGAGACATGCACCCGGACCGATTTGCTTTGTCATTCTGAGGTCCCTAGAGGCCAAAAACACCATTCGTTCGAATTCATTTTTATGTGTGTCCGTTAACACGATAACTCAAGGCAAAAATGATCCACTTTGATGAAATATGGTATGCATCTATTCGAACGAGTTCACGAACCAGCATGATCAAACTATGGGAACAGGGGTTATGGGGGTTTTATTGGGTAAAATTGGGGTTTTTCCTTTATTGACTCTGAAACATACAATTTTATTTACAAACAATTTAGTAGGCCTAAATTTATACTAAAGCGTTATTATGGGCATAAAGGTTACAGAGAAAATTTAAAAAAACTAAATAAAAAATATTCATTAGGCCTACTCATGGAGAATAAACATACAAAAACACTTTTTTAGTTTTACCGTACCCTCCCGATTGCAGCAAACCTAAGTAGACTCACTAAACCAATGTTATTTAAATAGGGAATAAGCCTACTGTAACATAATTGTGATATTTTAAGGAGCTATTTAAGAGTAAATCCAATCAGGCAAATGGAAATTCACTTAATCTGCAGGTTTTCTGCGGTGGGGGTTATTTAAATCATAGGCCTATGGGAAATGTTTTGGCACTAGCTATAGGCGAGTATGGAAAGTATTTCGAGAGTGCATGAAAGGCAGTTTGCATACACATTACACATTATATATTTCCTACAGTAACTAGGCTATAAAGCATAAATGATTAGTCTTTCAATCACTGTGCCACACGTTTTTAGGTTCACAGAGGATACGCATCCGGTAACCGGACATAGATTAGGCGTCCGGCAGTGACGACACTGGGTTGTAGGGGCCCGGAACGCCATTTCCACAACGATACGATGTACTGCCATCGGTGTTCGTGGTGTAGTGGATAGAGTGCTCGGCTGATATGCAAGAGGTCCCTGGCTCGATTCCCATTGGTAACTTTAACTTTTTGACAAAGATTTAGCTTAGAATGCAATTTTCTTCTTAACTGTTCATCTTTAGTTAGAATTTTTGTCATTTATAATTGTATTTTATGAACAGAATTTTACCTTCATTAGATTTTTTCATTCTCAGCAAGTTTGGTAGGTTAGGTTATGTTATGACAGTAACTGCCGGATGCCTAATCCACGTCCGGTTACTGGACGCTTATCTTCTGCGTTTTATGTTATGTTAAATCAAATCCAAAAATTGAACGAAATGGGAAAAACATGCACGCTGCACTAGCTGATCGTAATCGCAATATTTTTAAGTGTTGTCCACTTATTTTCAAGCGTACACGCTGTTTTGTGTTGTTTGGTTGGAATAGGCTACTGGTGTGTGGCAACAAAAAAAGTGTGGCAAGTTAGATGTAGTAATCCTAAGCAGCTTTCTGTGCTATAATCAGAGCAAGGAAGGCAACTTTGTCAGGTGACTGTAGGAAAATTAAATTTGATGCAATATTAATATTGAACCGAATTATAACTTTATCGATTTAGGGTGTATTGATATTTAATCCAATGATAAGTATTGCAGATTCTCTGTGGAACTGTACCCATCTCTTTGAATCCAATTTAATTTGACTTTAGCATCGATAGTTGGAGCTTAATTTGGATTTAAACAATGCAGGCACTATCCTAACTGATTAAAAAGTTATAAGTTAAGTTGGGAAAATAGCATAGGTTAGGTATAGGGATCCCTTTATGGAACCTTACAGTAGGTGCAGGCTTTAAGCGTCCGTAATTCACCTAAGTTGATAAAAATTCATGTGACGAGAGTTACAAAAAAATTTACCACAGAATTCCACATTACCTATTTCTTGGTTTTAAACTGGCTTGTATCACCATGAATATATAGGCTACACAGCCTACATGTTTCATATTAAACTTGATCCTGATATTATTATACTGTAAGCTTACTGATGGATGGGGAAAAGAGAAAATGAGTCGTTTGCTGATTATTCCTGCTGGGTCTAAATAAGCGATTCTAAGTAGTACCTATTGTTAATTTTTAGCGAATTTCCCTATAGGGAAGTAGCTATTACCGTAGGTGGCACGGAAAGACCTAGACCCGGGACCGATTTACTTTTTCATTTTGATGTCCCCAGAGGCCAAAAACACCATTCGTTCAAATTTTTATATATGTATATATATATATATATATATATAGATATAGATTTATATATATATACGTCCGTGAACGCGATAACTTGAGTAATTTTTGTCCAATTTTGATGAAATTTGGTTTAAAGGTGTAAAGCGGGATCAACTTGAATGAGTTCGCGAACCAGCACGATCGGACCATGAGAACGGGGCTTTACGGGGGGTTTTATGGGGTAAAAATTGTTTTTTCTCACTTTTGACCCTCAAAACACAAAATTTCCCAATTTCTCTTTAGACCTTTTTAAAGAGCTTAAAAAAACAAATAATTAAGTATATAAAAGTATTTTTGTTCGATTATTAGTAACCGAGAAAATTAAAAAGATTGTAAATTTAAAATTCCCATGTTATTCTTATGAAGAATATTGTCAAATGTTGTAGTTTGCTTGTTTATGGATATATTTTGATCAAATTTGG